GCAAAGGAGCTGCCGTGAGTACATGGGAAGGGCCCAGACATTTCCAGGGCTTTCTCCCTGCTAAAATCAACCACCTTGACCACACTCCAGCATCCGTGCAGGCCCCCGTGTGCGTCAAAGCTCCGGAGACATCCTTTTAGGATACGTCCTTCCCGTGTTCACTGTGGGACTGCATCGTAATGCATGAGAGAGGGGTTGAAATATTCCGATTGCCTCCGGTGAAATTACAGTTTTGTTCCCGGGAGTGGAAAAGTGAGTTTAAACCATTAACGCCCGAAGTCTCCGCGATGATTACAGGGATGTTTGCGAGTGCTTTCATCAGTATAGTTTGTCTGAGTGGCCTATTTTAATATTATTGCGCTGATTAAGTTTTCTTAGCTAATATATGTTTCATTTCCAATTCAATTAAAGGAGAATCCCCTTCCATTACGTGATATTACTGAAGTGCCCTAGYGGGGCAAGAGCACACTTGGTATTTGCAATTAATAGAGATTTCTTCATTAGGCCGTCTCGTGGTGCTAAATGAAATCAATGGAAGCTGAAATAGAAACTGCAGCAGGTTGCAGCTGGAAAGATGTGGTCCAGTCCTTGCCCCTCTTTCAGCAGCGTCCTTAAAATATATTAGTATCAGCTCATTAATTACATTTCAAAGACGTTTTATTGCAGCGGCCTTCCTTTGGCAAAAAAAAAAAATAAGTTATAGGAAGGCTCTAAAGGAGCCTCCATGGATTCCTGTGCGCCTCGAAGTTATAGCAAGTTAAATCTAAGTTCCATATATGTGTCTTTTTTATGCGCTATATATCCTTGCTTTAGCGTTTAAAAATACCCCCTTGCAAGCTATCGGGAGCCGTGTTCACTGGCAAAGGGGAGATTCCCTGCGAATGGCTTGTGAAGGAATTATCATCAGCCTTGCATTTTCTGCCATGAACCAAACCCTCTGCTTTTATGTATTATTGAAGAGAATTGATTTGTCTCTGATATAGTAGCAAATGATTTTATAAATACCTCTCACGGGTTAATTCCCTGCTGTGCAGTACGGGAGTTCTTAGGGCAAACGTGTATGAGCTTTTCCTTAAAAGCTCCCGGTTTTCCGCAGTGTTGGGACAGGGATGCTGAGCAGTGCCTGTTTTTTATATACTAAGGAGTTGTGGGGTTGATGAGCATTTAAATGGTGGCTCGGAAGTCGGAACGAGTGGTTGGGAAACGGGACAAATTGCAACTTATAAATACGCATTTATAAAAGTCATAAAAAAGGACAAATCTGTCTGTCAGAGTGAGATCAGGGCCCTCTGGCCCATCCTGTTTCCAGGCCATATTAATAACTGAACTTCCCGACTCCGCTGATGCTTTCGTGCTCCTCACCACAGCCTTGGGAACTAAGGGCCGGCCAGAAACTTTCCAGAGTATTGATTTTATTAAATTATTAATAATGATTAATGCATCTTCGACTGGTCAGAAAATACCTGGCTAAGCACATTTAAGGCATAGCTAAAATATATCTGAATATATGGATAAAGCTTTTTGCCCCCCCCCTCCAATTTTTTTACTCTTTTACAAACAAAATTCTGGGGTTTTTTTTAAGAATATAATAAATATTTTAGCATAGTTATTTTGGCTCCGTAAGTGCAATGGAAATGTTAGCCTTGGCATATCAATCGTGCTTTACAGATGACTGTAATTTCCTGAATGTCAAAACTCCAAATTTTTCTACTAAGCAAACTTTTCAGTGGCAAAATAGATTGCCTCCATAATATATCACTGTGTGCAGGAAAAAATGAAATCTTTATGTACTGTATTATGAATCAATGAGGCATTAAGATTCTTGGAAGGGTGAGTGGACTCTGGAAAATGAAAAACTGCCACTATTCCCTCTCCGTAAACCGCTGCTTATGGAGTGTCGGCTTTGCAAAACCTCTATCTTCTGCGCTGCAGAAATATGGGTTACAAGTTGAAGCCGATCCCTGCACCGGCGTTTAGGGAGGGTAAATCCTGTTGGAAATATCCGATTTATAGCGGCCCTGTGGGGTTGCGCGCGGGCTCTTTTGCACTGTCTTTTCTGCCCTCGCGTTTTGGCGAGCGGGGCAGATGCGGGGATGGAGCGTGCAGTCCGAGCTCCTCGCTGCTCTTTGCTCCTAAAAAAAGACCCCGGCGTTCTCCTCTTTCCAGGCACTGCCACGGAGCCGTCAACCCGCTGCCGTCCTTGCTGAAGCACTTGCGTGCGAGGGGATCCTGCACGATGTTAATAACAGTGGTGATTACAAAACGAATACCCGCCAGCAGCCCGCGGGGCGATGCCCGGGCCGGCTCGTCCGTGTGCCAGGGAAGCCAGGAGGGGCCCACGTGCCAGGCTGCAGTTCTCTGCCTACCCCAAACCTTCCCTGTTTTTACTCTATTTGCGCCCGTGCGCCATGCCTGGGCATAGGAACACACACCTCGGGCTGGAAAAATCTTAAAATGCCGCCRTCTCCCGTGCCCAAACCCCTTCTTTTCTGCAAGTCTTTTCTGTTTGATGGTTTCAGGGCGAGGATGGGCTGCTCCAATTGCTGTTCCTGCCAAACCCGGCTCCCTTCCCGGGTTCCTCCCGCGGCGCTCGCCGCCTTCCCGCCGCCGCACACGTCTCTAGACAAAACATCCCCGTGATTCATTGGATGCTTAATAGAAGTGAAAACATAATGATAACCTAGCTGAAATGTAAATTTACATTTGCTAAAGGCTTTAATTTGCCGTTCTGAAATACTTAGCTCCTTTTCTTCCAGGCCCTCGCTGTGAACTGAGGCGTGTTAGGATCCTCCTGTGCCTTGCGGAGGCCGGGAATGAGGGAACATTGTCCATAGGTTTTGTGGACAGCACCAGGGAAAGCCCTTCCCTCCCATAACCTTCCACGTGGCCTCGCAGGGAGCCATGGAAGGGAAAAGCTCGTCCTGGGACACGGTGTGGGGCTCCCGGGGGGCTGCTCTTGTCACCCCCATCATGGATGCGAAGCGTCTGGGCCCCGCTTGGACACAACTTCCCTCCTGGAGATTCCCCACCCAAGGGATTTTCCAGGTGTGCTGGGTTTGGGAAAGGGTTGGCATGAAGCCCTGACCCCCATATCCCTTGAGCACGTCCGCAGGAGCCGAAGTTGGCTGTGGTGAGGATGAGTGAGGCCGGGATGAGYGTTGGGCATCACTCGGCACCCCCTGCAAGCAGCCGTGCCCGGGGCGGCTGGGCTGCTTCTCCCAAAGGAGCAATTTGCRGGAAGAGCAGAGCAGAGCCCCAGCGGGTCCTTCCTGCCAGGAATCAACCCCTCTCCCGGGAGCGCGGCGAGCGGGAACGGCAGCCGTGCCGGGGGCTTGCAGGGATGTGTCCCGGTGTCCTTGGGGTGAGCGGTGGGCAGTGGCCGCCGCTGCTGCTGCCGTGTCCTTGGCGGAACCGGGAAATGTGACTTGTCCCCCAGCCTGTTTCCTGCGCTCGTGGAGGTGCCCGTGGTGAAGGAGGTGCCTTCAGTGTCCGTGCCGAGCTCCTCCGCTCCGTGGGACSGGGCGCGGGTTTCCGACGGTGTCTGCTGCCGTGCAGGGAGCCCTGGGGCCCGCGGTGCCACCAATGCTCCTGCGACGCGGTGCCCCAAGGGGATGGGACCCCGGCGGGACCCACTCGGCACCAGAGCTGAGCCGGCCCGGAGCCCCCTGGACCCCGGCCCTGCCGGGACGCCCTGCCGGAGCCGCCTCCTCGGGACCTGCTGCCCAAGCRATGTCCGGGATGCGGGCGGATCTGCCAGGAGCCGAGGGGAGCGCAGAGCCGCCCGGGCCCTTCCCTGCCTTGCATCCGTTCCCAGGTTTGTTCTTCTTTCCRTGTCCTTGGCTCTTCCCGAGGCTGGATGGGCTCTGGAAGCGCCTGCCGCTTGTCTTCCCGGCTCAGCTCCCTCCGGCACCATTCCTGGAGAGACAATGACATCTAGTGGCTTCTCCACGCAGGAGCTGCCACTGACAGGGCTGCGCTTTATCCCTGTGCGGGACACCGCGGATCCCAGTCGGCTCCCACGGGAATGGGAGCCCGGAACGGGGCTCCCGCGCGGCCTCGTCCAGGAGCAGGGAGCCCCGGCAGGAGGACGAGCTGCTCCGATGCTCTTGGCTTGAGCAGGTCATTCTGGTCCCTGCTCACACGGTGACACCCAAGCGTGGAAGAGCTCTGGGGCTCGAGGTGTTGATGGATTCGGGCTGCTGACTGTGGAAGCCGGTGTTGGAGGGCGGCTGTTGACGCGTAGGCTGCAGGGATGTCCCAATGGGAAGTTCAGTCGTGGGTTTTCCCGAGGGCCAGGCGCTGTTTCCCTCCGCTCTGAGGGATGGGCTGGAGCGGCCGCTGGTTCGGGTGCCGTCGCAATCCAGCCGCAGGTGAAAGCGGGAGGATGAAACGGGCAGATTGCAAGGAGGGCTTTCCCGAGATTCCTGTCGCAGCGGGAACAGGTTGGGGTGCCTGGGAACATCCCGCTGCTCCTGCCCAAGAAAGGAGCTGCCGGGTGCCGTTGGTGTCACGCTGCCACGGGGCTCRTGCAGCAGAGAGCCCCCATTCCCAGGAGAGGGAGCAGGAGCAGCATTTTACAGACCATGGAAACCTGCTGGTCCGGCTCTCTTGCCGGCCGGCCGGGCCTCCCTGCGCTCGGGCAGGGAGCAGCGCCGGYGTTCTTGGCTGGGAGTTGGGAATGTCCTGCGGCGCTCGGAGCTGGGAATGACCTGCAGCGCCGGACACGGCCAGGAGAGCCCAGTGCCCAGCCAGGGCCGGTTCCAGCCRTTCCCAGGCAGTCCCTACAGACACGACCCCAGTGTTGGGTGTGCAGGGAGCTGCCCCTGGCGCTGCCCCGCGCGGAGGACATCCCGGCTCATCCATCCCGCGCCGCGCCGGGCGAGCGGGGACCGTGGTGCACATCCCGGGAGGCTCCCGCGGCCCTGGAGCGCACGCCAGGGTGCTGTCGTTTTGCACGCTAACACACAGCTAACCCCTCTGCCCTCCTCTCGCCCCCGCAGGAACTTCTACTACATCACCATCCTGCGCGACCCGGTGTCGCGCTACCTGAGCGAATGGCGGCACGTGCAGCGCGGCGCCACGTGGAAGGCCTCCCTGCACGTCTGCGACGGCCGCTCGCCCACCACCGAGGAGCTGCCCAGCTGCTACGCGGGCGACGACTGGTCGGGCTGCTCGCTGCAGGAGTTCATGGAGTGTCCCTACAACCTCGCCAACAACCGCCAGGTCCGCATGCTCTCCGACCTCAGCCTCGTGGGCTGCTACAACCTCTCCGTCATGCCCGAGGAGCAGAGGAACAAGGTTCTGCTGGACAGCGCCAAGGAGAACCTCAAGCGCATGGCCTTCTTCGGCCTCACCGAGTTCCAGAGGAAGACTCAGTACCTCTTCGAGAAGACTTTTAACATGAACTTCATCTCGCCGTTCACCCAGTACAACAGCACGAGGGCCTCCAGCGTGGAGATAGACGAGCAGACTCAGCAGCGCATCGAGGCGCTCAATTTTTTAGACGTGGAACTGTACGATTACGCCAAGGACCTTTTCCTGCAGAGGTACCAGTACACGCGGCAGAAGGAGCACCAGGAGGCGCGGCGGAAGCGCCAGGAGCAGCGCAAGATCCTGCGGGCGCAGCAGGCGCTGCGCCGGGAGCGCGCCGACAACGGCTCCGCCAYGGACTACACGGGCAACGTGGAGCGGTGGCGGCGGTAGTGGCGGCTCCGCGGCCCAACGAGCGCCCCATCCGTGCGCATCCCGCTCCGGGAGCAGCCGGAGCCACGAGGCGAGGTGGAAACGTTGCCTTTGCAGTTGCCTTTGCGGTAAACGTCGTCCTGTCCGTGGGACGCTTCATCTTCGCGTGTAATTAAATTGTCCTTTTCAGCTCGGGTGGGTTATTGATGAGAGGCGGGAGCCGAGCGGGCTCGTCGGAAATGGCTGCTTGGACGGTTATTAAAAAAATAAGATCCTTAAATTAAGTTACGAGTACAAAATGGGATGCTGGAAAATGGTTCTGATGCTCTGCTAAATCTATCTGGGAAGCCAACTCATTTCCTAATAATGAGCATTTAACATACCCTCACAATACAGTATACGCGCAAAACCTTTTCCCTTTGATTTTGTCTTAATTTCGTTTTAATAATGTGTTTTCCGAGGGCACCAACTGCTTCTGATATTTACCAAGTTAACGAATGGACAAYGTAGGGAAAAAATAAAGGTCTTGAAAAAATACCGACTAGTTTTATGTATAATATTGGCTTTTAAAAGGAATAGAAGTAATTTGTCTAGTTATATAAATATTTAAAATTTTAAACTTTTTCTACCTACTGCTGTTTAGAGTTTTAAGCTTGGTCTAGCTCATATTAAAAAAAAAACAAACATACTTTTCTGAACTGAATGCCAATGTTAAGCAATTTCCAGGGTTTTTCAGGGCAGTATAATTTTAACCCTTCTGGAGAAGTTACAGCCCATCCTCATGTTTCATAAAGCCTTTTCCCAATGATACTCCTGCGACRGTATCTGCTTTTACATCTTTCCTACCCGTTCGAACGCAGAATTTATCAATCCTTAATAACTGGGGACACAAACCAGGTGGAATTTGTTGCGGGTATTTGTGTAGCACCTCTAAAAAGTCATAAAATGCCCTAATCCCAYGATATCACGGAGAGAATTACTCGATTGAAGTGGATTTTCCCTTCAGTTGTGGTTTGCTCCYGGGAAAGCGTCACCACGCGACGGGAAAACGGGGCTTTGTCTTGCTCTGCTCCTGAGCCTTCCTTGGTGCTCCCGGAGCAGCAGAGGCTGAAAACGCCGCAAACGCTGGAAAATGCCCCAAAATGTGGGCAGGGAGCGGGAGAGGCGCRCGGGGAGGCGGGATGAGGCTCCGGAGCGGGGAGCGGAGCTGCCGGGACAGGGATGGGGACGGGGGTGTCGGGGGCGCTTCAATCTCTATGCAAAAACCCTCGGCCAGAGGCGGGAGCTGCGCGGCCGCCCGCGCCGGCCCCGTTCGAGCACCTTCCTTCTGGCCTATGACATCCCGCGCGGCAGGAGACACCGGGAGCAGCAGGATCCCGCGCGGCCGGAGACACCGGGAGCAGGAGGAGGCTGCAGCACCCGGGACCTTTCGATGCCACCTCCGCAGGCGGCGGGAGGGCAGCGCGAAAGAGCAGCAACCCGGGACCCTGCAGCCGCCACGTGGAACAGAGAACAACTCCACGTACAGCAATTCTTTTTTTAAACCAAGAACTGCAGTTGCCAATATGATGTCTCCATTTTATTTTATGGGTTTTTTTTTTCCCTCTTTTAACGGGGGAGAATAATTTGCTCTTATTTAAGCCGCGGGGCGCTGCTGCAAAGGGGCCTGGGCGCAGGCTTCTGCCGTGGGTTTTCTGCTGTGGTGTGCATGGTTTACAGGGACTCGCTGCATTTTCTGTGTGCGTCCTGTCTGTTGTATATAGGGGCTGTGTGAATATAAGGATACTGTTTTGTCATCATCATATCGATTCTACTGATTCCCACTGTAGACGCTGTCTTACTGTGTAGATTTACGGGCCGATCCACTGACTTTGATTGTGTAATTTAACAATAGAATGGATAAATAAAATTTAACGGCAGCTTTCTGATTTCGGCGCGGTTTTTCCTTCGCCGGGAGCGGCGCAGACGGGAGCGGAGGCCGGATCTGACGGAGGGAAGCAGCCATGGATGGGCAGGTAGGTGGGTTCAAGCGGTGCTTCCCCGGCAGGGAGCTCGAGCTGCAAYGACCCTCCGCCCCGGGAGCTTCTGGAGAGGTTTTTACCACTTTTTGAGTTGTTTTCTGAAAAGCGAGTTGTGGTTTCTGCTGGACACCGGGATCTGTGAGGCTGCCCTGTGTGTCTGTGTCCGGGGATCCTTCACCTTTTGCAGCATTCGGAGGCGTCGCGGGCAGCACCCCACACGCCCTGCCCTGCACAGGGAGCGTCACTTTTCCTGGGACRCTCAGAACCCCGGAGGTCTCGGGATGTCCGGAGGCTCTTTGTGCAAATGCTGAGTTACCTCCAAGCTCCAAAGCGCCTCCGGCAACGTGCGGAGCAGCATCCTGGATCCGGCACAGAGCGGATCCCCCTCTCCGAACGGCTGGAATCGGGGGAGCAAAGGTGGTTTTCCCATGTCTGGGGGCGACGCTCTGTGTCCCCCGGATCTCCCCCAGGAGGCAGCTGCTCCGTAGGGCTGTTGATCCCTGAGTTTTTCCCGTGAACTTTGCAGCCCCCTTACACACCTTCGTACCAGCGGGTGTTCCGCAGCGCAGCACGTATCTGCTGCTAACGGGCCCCTGACTGACAGCGCTCCGAGGGGTTTTCCTGCTCTTTTAAAGTTCATGTATTACCAAAAATGATCAGAGAACGGGATGCCTGGGCACACGCCAGGGCGAGCGGTGTCTCAAGCCATTTCCTCTCTTAMATCGCAGCGGTGACGTGAAATCACTGCGGCAGCCGCTGCGTGTCCCTGTGCGGAAGCGGCTGAGCGGAGCGGGGGCAGCAGCAGCTGCAAACACAGCCCGTGCAGCCCMAAAAACCTGGGAACGGCCACCAAAACGGCTCCAGTTGTCCCCAGGAAATCGGTTTGGAGCAGTTTCCAAGGATGCTCCGGAAACCCTCCCGCAAGGCGGCTGCTCTGCGGCCGCGAGAGGGAGCAGAGGCGCCGGGAGCTGCCGGGAGCAGGAGCGGGAGCTCGGGATGCTGCCCGGGATGCTGCAGATCCCGGGGGGRTGTCCAAGCCGTGCTGCTCCGTGCAGCAGGATGCGCTCCTGGCAGCCGGAGTTTCCCTGCAGACACGGTGAGCCGGGAAGCGCCTTAATGCCCGTCACTACATTAGAGTAACTGCAGCGGGATCRGCCAGTGCGTGTGTAGGCTTTAATGCTAGGAAATCTCGTGGAGTTTCAAAATAATTAAAAGCAGGATTAATCGGGATGCCCAACAACACCTGCCTGATTGCTAGTGAACATCCTCGGCAGCACCCTGAAGTTGATCCCACATCCACATATTCCCAATGGGAAGGGACTTGTGTCCGTGTTCTCGGCAGCCCTGCGAGTCCCTCCGTGTGACTTCCATGTCCTGCTTTGGTGCCTTTTAAAAATACGTCTGCTCCGTGCTCCAGGCTGAGGAGCAAGAGGGACCGCGGAGCACCCGGAGGCTCCCGGAGAGCCCGGGGATTYTGGTGCTCGGACTCGCTCTCAAAGAGTTTTGTATTTATTACATTTGCCTTTMGAAGCTCCTGCTTCTAACGCGCCCTTCTTGTGGCCGAAAGATGCTCCCGGGTTCCCCCTTTCCCAGCCAACCCTGCTTTTCCCAAAGCTGAGAACCGATGGGCTCGTTGCAGCCCTTTTCCTGTGCCCTTGCAGGAGTTAAGGAGCACGTTGTGCTTTGGGGAAATGAGCGGATCCGTCGGGGCTGCAGCACGTGGTGCTCTTGTGCTGGCTCTCGGCATCCCGCGGGGTTACGCATTCCCATAAGGACGTGACCGGCTGCACGGGGCTCCGGCAGCGCTTCCCCTCCGGAGCAGAAGTGAGAGAAGGGGACRGGACACAGGACACGGRACACGGGACACGGGACACGGRACACGGGACACAGGACGGCGCCTGCCTTCCTCCCAGTCCTTTGCTAAATCTGCTGCCCAAACCTGCTCCCTGCTGGAGCAGGGCTTGGACTAAGYGATTTCTAGGGGTCCCTTCCAACCTCAACCATTCCAAGCCCCAAAGCGAAGGGTGTCACGGTGTCCCAGGGTCCCCTGCACCCATGGGTGCCCTTCGGCACCTCCTTACACGAGCCGGTGGTGACGTCCTCCGTATTGAAACYGGAGCGGATCCGCTCTTCCAGCATCATCAGCATTCCCGCCTTGGAGCAAACGCAGAGATTAAAGATATAATCATGGGAGGTGGGGAAAAAAAGCCCTGTGTGGAAGGGATTTGCACGTGCGGGCCACGTCCTGCTCGGTATGCAGGCCTGGAAGACAGCAGGAGCCCTCCTGTCTCCATCCATACCAAGTTAGGCTTTAATTTAGGCAATATAATACAATCTATCTTTCTCTGGATKTTAATAGCTTTTCCACTCTTTTGCTCCACGGATACTTGGAAACGCGAGCTCCTTTGCTACGTGACTATTTAGGCCAATAAAGGAGCTATTTACTTAACACCTTAGTTTGCAGGCGCCCTCCTATTAGGCCGCCGGCGGAGGCTCCTGCGTCCCCGGCTGTGTGTGAATGTGCATAATTAATAAATGATATTTGCAGGACAGATACTCCGGAGTGTCTCGGCTCTCCTTGACCGAGAAATTCTGTCTCTCCGAGAGCTAATGAAAGGTTTAGACTTTTTAATTTATTTTTCTCAGATTAGACTCAGAAAATAACCTTATTATTCTAAGAGGTAGATTAGTCCCCAAGGAAGATATGAATAAATGAAGAAGTGATAGGTGAAAAATAGGCCAGAGCTGCTATTGCAGCAAAGCCTTCCTGACCTTTTAATTCTGGGTTCAAAACCATGGGAAATCAGACTCCGTGAGCACRAACAACACAGCCAGTCAGTCGTGAGGACCCAATATATATATATTAGTTCTGCAGGAAATAATAGAATTGCTACCAGWGCAAACATTTGCCGGGGAGATAGAGTCTAGGTTGTGTTAAACTGTGCTCCGATGGTGTTCGGCTGCCGCGAGGTTGGGCCTGGGACCGTCCGCACTAGAGGGAGCTCTGGAAAAGGAGCCGCTTGCTGGGAAGCAGAGCTCAACACGTGGATTTACCCGGGGAGGCTGAACCTGGGGAAAAGCCTTTTGTTTGGCACCATCAAAACGAGGGTCGAGGCCCCCACATGTTTTTTTTTGCCCTGTTTTGCCCAGTTTACCTCGCTGGGCAGCACAGCCTGAGGAAGGGGCCTGGCACCCAAATACGGAAGCGTTCGGAGATGCTCGGGCCAAGGGGTGTTTTTTGTGGTCGAACGCGGCTGCGTTAACGCACGGGCGGGCAGCTGCACGTTGGAACTGTTTCAGTGAAGCAGCAATGATYTTTTCCTGGTGTTTTTCCTCTCAAAGCCAGGTCACGGCTGCAAACGGCTGCCCAGGTTCCTCCAGCGCCGGCTCCTTCTCCGCGCTGGATGTTCAGGGCAGCTGCTCAGGGGGCTGACACTTCCATGGCAAATCCCGGGGTTTGGAGGCGTTTCCAGACGGTCATTGCCCCTCTCTGGAGGCAGAGGCAGCGCCAGAACGTGGCTCCTGCTGCGGCAGCTCCATCCCGCCCCGCGGCGCTGCCGGGTTTCCCATCGGAAGCGCTCCGGGGAGCCAGAGGCGGCGGCCAGCCCTTCTCGGTGTCCTTGGCCTCCCGGGGCTCCGGCGCRGGTGCCAGGATGCACTGAGTCATCCCGCTCCATCCCGCTCCCTGGAATTCCTGGCTCCGGGGCGGGGTCCCTCCGAGATGCCAGGGCATTTCCTGAGAACCATAAATCACTGCTCCAACTCCCGCCCCGCGCTGCCGATCCCTGTCGGACACACAACATGGAGTTGCCAGTTGTTTTCCTTTTAAGAGGGAGCACGGGAAAGGAAAATCAAGCGGCTTCAGCAATTACCCACRCGGCAAAAACTTCCGCTATTCCCGAAGCGACGCAGAGCGGCCGGCTCCGGGATGGGAGCCCTGGGCCCTGCTTCTTCCCAGGGTTCAGCCCCACGAGTTGCATCGCGCCGGGCTGCTCCGGGGCCTCTGCTCCCACAAACTCATGGAGATCCCGCTGCCCGGCTCTCCCGCTCTC